GAGAATATGAATTTTGTTCGAGTAGTCTTCATGCCCAGCACAGAACCCAATGTGGGGCTTGAACTCATGACCCTGAGATCAAGACCTGAGCTGAGTTCAAGAGTTGGAGGCTCAATTGAGCAACTCAGACACCCCCCCCAAAATTCACATTCTAATGGGGTTTATGGGCTCCAGCTAGAAAGTGGCCAGTGGAATTCTTTTGGGGGACCACTGACTTGGGAAGAGTCTTCAGGAACTATAACTAATCCCCTTACTCCATGGAGCCTGATAAGGCACTTGAGTAGGAGGTATCCCAAGAGATGGTTGGAGTTGACTCCATCATGTGGAAGGACTGGGCACTCAGTAGGCTCTGCTCTGTGAGCCAACATGAGAACAACAGAGTGATTACCTTGAACTCTCTCATCTCAGAGATCCTGTTCCTGGTCTTGTCTCTGTTCTAAGTCTCCATCATCAGGTTCTCTTTTTCTCTGGGCATGGAATCTGGATCTCCGATTTTGAAACCAAATCTAAGTGGGTAAAACATCAAGAATTAGGGGCACCTGGGTGGCGCAGTCGGTTAAGCGTCCGACTTCAGCCAGGTCACGATCTCGCGGTCCCCGAGTTCGAGCCCCGCGTCAGGCTCTGGGCTGATGGCTCAGAGCCTGGAGCCTGTTTCCGATTCTGTGTCTCCCTCTCTCTCTGCCCCTCCCCCGTTCATGCTCTGTCTCTCTCTGTCCCAAAAATAAATAAACGTTGAAAAAAAAAATTAAAAAAAAAAAACATCAAGAATTAATTCAATCAAATGATGTCATGCAAGCTTCACCATTGCTTTCACAAGACAAAAGGAAGAGAGAGGGGGTTGGTTCTAGACCTAATTCCAAAATCACCAGCCTTCCATATGACAGCTAGGACGGTCTATCAAGTCTGAAGATAAAGCCCAAAATTCAGAACCTCACACCTAGTGTCTTCATGATGGGTTTCATATCCTTAAGTCCCCACGGTCGCCTCATTACCAGTGCTGGTTTTCCCTAAAGTGCCATGCCTATACTGACACTCTTCCCTCTGCCTGGAATTCTTTTCCCATCTTTCTTTTCCTTCCTCTTCAAAATGCTTATGTTTCTTCCATGACCGAGGATAGTATATTGTCTGTCTAGGGAGGTATTT